CGCAAAGCGTAAGCACAGATATGCAAATTTTATGTAAATTTTTTTTAATGTAATTGGCAGCAATCAGTCGTAATTTGCGTAGAGTTGACACTAACGAATGAGGGAATAACGGCAAGCTCCCTCACGCGTAATCGTAATCGTTATCGAGAATCTCGATATATACGTAGGTACACGCAACGTATACGTCCGTGTGTCCGTCGATCGTAGATAAATACAAGTCAAATAAAATGCGATTGAAAATAATGAGCTTATTATATAAGCCATTAATTCTCCACGCGCAAGTAAAAAAAAAAAAGTGCCATTATATTATTAAGCGCCTGCCGGCGCGAGGGACGTCGAAAGGCGTGACGGAACTTAACGACGCTTTGCCGCTTTATCTCACCGACGTTAATGATACTTAGCGATGCAACGCTGCGTTATCACGCTACGTTCGCGCGTTTACGGCGTGCATGTCGCACCTACGCGCATTTACAGGCAACATACCGCCGCGTGCGTAATTGCATTTTGAATTAGGCACCGGCACGAAGACGCTCGCGCGACGTCCGCCGCTGTTGATCTTCGCGCGTTTACGCGTTGCGCAACGCCTTATTCCTTCTCTCCCGTTACGAGGCGGGTACACGCTCGCGTATACATATTTATCTCTGTGTGAATCGCGACCACTCAGCGACCATTCATTCAGCTGCATCGCGAAATGAAGCGCCTCGGAATCATTTTCCGCGACAGGAATCCGCGATTCACTGCCAAGGGCGACTCGACCGCAACAAAGGCGATTGTTCCCGTTCTCGTATTATAATCAGGCGACGACTCGATGATCCTCGTCCGTCACAGCCTCCCGTTCCAGCGCGACGAAGAAGTCCTTATGAACCTTATGAAATCAACCTCAGCCCCAACCATCGCTCTAAAGTCGCACGTCGGGCTTCGAGGGCGGTGTAACCCCTTTTATATTCTGAAATGATGTAAGGGTGAAAGAAAGAGAGAGGGAGAGAAAGCGCGTGACCAGTTAAATTCAACTATTAAGTACTCGATGACTTCCCGTCCCCTTCTTCGATTTCGGGATCCTCTTCTCCCTTTCGACCTTCGTTTGTTTCGTCTTCATTCTTTCCCTTTCTTTTTTTTTTTGTTTTTGTTTTTTACAGGCGACGACAACTCGAACAAGGCCACGGTCGGGTCCACGGGATGCGTCCACCTGAAAGCGCGTCTCCTTCGACCCGAAAATGTGAAAGCCGAAACTCCCGCGGACACGGATTCCTGCGATTTCATCGCGCCGACCGGCCGGCCATAGGCGACGTTACATTACGCGACGCGGCCGAAACGTCCTTGGTCATTGTGACATTTGGTTTTCTCGAAGTTGTACGCGCACGCCGGAGGAAAGTTGGTGACGTAACTACCGGTGACCTTGCCATTTCCGAAGATGCGACGGCGAGGCGCTTGAGGAGGACGCCTCCAGCCACTGTCTCTCTCTCTCTTTCTCTCTCCTCTCCCGCTGATCATATTTCTCTTGCTCTCTCTTATCTTCCCCTCTTTCTCCTTCCTTCTCTCTCTTTCTCTC